TTGGGCATTTTCAATGTTCTTTGCTCATTTTTTTCCTCAATGCCCTATTCTTTAAAGGTACTCCCAAAATCTCGTTTTGTTTCCACCCTTCCAGTATCGTAGTTTTTTATAACCTTTAAAGCAGATGACTCCCTTAGAATCATATAAACAACTGCTTAACCTCTTTCCAAGTAGATCAACTTTTAACATGGCTACAACTGATCTACGATATTCACTACTCACGCTAGCTCCTGCCTATCAGTGTTACTGAAAATTCCATGATTCCAGTTGTCTAGCACAAAAAGCTTGGCTACATCTTTGATTCCTCTTCTCAGGCCCCACATTACAAGCAAACTTCTCATCACCTTCAAAATCCATCTACGGTACTTTTAATCACTCCCATTGTCATTTCCCTGGTCCCACCAAAAATGACTGCTTGTCTGAATAAATCTGTCACCCAGTATCTACTCTCAGTAAGAGTGATCTCATTCCTCTTCGAATAGCTTCCTATTTCATTCAAAGTAAAAGCTAAAGATTATGCCTTATGCTTCAGGTAATGTCTTAAACCCACCCTTTTCTCTGAGGCCAACTTTTTCTTTCTTTTTTGAGATGAAGTTTCACTCTTGTTGCCCCAGCTGGAATACAGTAGCGTGATCTCAGCTCACGGCAACTTCTGCCTCCCAGATTCAAGCAGTTCTCCCACCTCAGCCTCCTGTGTAGCTGGATTGCAGGCCCGTGCCACCAGGAGCGGTTAATTTTTTGTATTTTTAATAGACACAAGGTTTCACCATGTTAGCCAGGCTGGTTTCAAACTTCTGACCTCTGGTGATCCACCCACCTCAGGTTTCCAAAGCACTGGGATTACAGGCATGAGCCACTGTGCCTGGCATCTATTTCTTATCATACTATTCCTGCTATGTAGAATACCTCACAGCAGGATCATAACCAGTATTTGTTGAGTAAATAAAAAATGTTCCCAACTGGCTTCTAGGAAATAATTGTCCATAAATCACACAATCGACAATGTGTAACAAACCAAATTATCTATAAAAAAGCCAGAGGATTGGTGTTTTAATTTTCTAGCTTGATAAACGTGAATGCAAAGGATTTCCCAACAAAAAAATCAGATAAAAGGTGAATATCCTACTTTACCAAAAACTTAAATCTATTTTCAAGAAAGATTCAACTATTGGCCAGGCCCAGTGGCTAATGCTTATAATCCCAGCACTTTGGGAGGCTGAGGCAAGCGGATCAGTTGACTTGAGATCAGGAGTTCGAGACTAGCCTAGGTAACATGATGAACCCCCTTCTCTACTGAAACTACAGAAAATTAGCCAGGCATGATGGCATGCCTATATTGCCAGCTGCTCAGGAGAGGCTGAGGCAGGAGGATCCCTTGAACCCAGGAGGCAAAGGGTGCAATGAGTCAGTACTATCCCACTGCACTCTTGCCTGGGTGACAGAGTCAGATACTGTCTCAAAACACACACAAAATCCAGCTGTGCCCGTGATGAATGTGCATTTGGAGCTGCTATCATATGCTTGCTATAAGGAAATCACAAACAAAAATGTATTTCTACAGATGACTTTCTCCTATTTACTCTTCCAACATTTAAGAGGCAGGAGAATTGCTTGAACCCAGGAGGTGGAGGCTGCAGTAAGCAGAAATCGCGCCACTGCACTCCAGCTTGGGTAATAAGAGCTAAACTCCATCTCAAAAAAAAAAAGGAGGGGGAGGGTACAGCCACTTTTGGTAAACAGTTTGGCTCTTGGTAAGGTCGACCATATTAATCACCATACAACCCAGCAATTATCCTAGATATATACGCAAAAGAAATGAAAACACATGACCATACAAAAATTTGCATACCAATCTTCATAGCATCATTTAACATATAGAAAAAAACTCGAATGTACATCTTCTAATGAATAAACAAAATGTATTATCCATAAAATGGAAAAAAAGTATTGATACATGCTACAACATAGATGAACCTTGAAAATATTCTAAGTGGAAAAAGCCAGTCACAATACATTTATATGAATGCCCAAAATAGGCAAATCTGTACAGAAAGAATTTATTTTTAGCATGACACAATGATCTAAAATTAGATCATGGTCCTAATCACACAACTCTGAATTTACTGAAGTGAACTGAATACTTTAAATGGATGAACTGTATAGAATATTAAATCTCAATAAAGCTAAATTAAGGAAAAAAAAAACCGCCAAGGAGGCTGACGAAATCTACCTGAAGAATGCTCTCAAGCAGATTCGTACCTTAAGTACTACAGGGTACCTTAAGTCTTGGGTAAAAAGAAAATCAGACCACCACTCAATTCTGAGTCATACAGCAGACTGATCCAGGTTCAAATGCTTCTGCTTCTACAAATAAGTATCTCCCACTTACTCAACAAGTCCAGGACACAGTAAGAAACTAGTCTAAAAGAAATACTAAGAATTAAGTATAAAGTCCAGCCAGGCGCCAGTGGCTCACACCTATACTCCCACCACAGAAATTCTCCCAACCTCCTCTCCATTTCAACATTTACAAGGTTAAACATTTAACCTATCTTTTTTTCTCCAGTTTCTGTTTTCTAGCCAAAGGGCTGTTTCAAAAATATCATTTATAAGACACAATTCCTGAACATGTCATATAAGCCCTTTACAACCATCACTTACAATTTTCTATTAGAGCTAGCTGCTCCCCAAACACATCAGGGCCCTTCACAACTCAATCTTGGTTCATGTATTATTATCTTTGACCTGTGTGTTCTTGATGTGTTTATCTATTTCTGAGCCACTGACCCAGTGACATATATATTTAGCTACGGAGTAGTAACAGCACTCTGAAACCTCTAATGAAAGGATTTCATACTCCAGTCACTTATATACTTTTTTTAGTAGAAAGCCTGTCTTTACTAAAAACACAAAATTAGCCGGGCGTAGTGGCACATGCCTGTAATCCCAGCTACTCGGGAGGCTGAGGCAGGAGAATCGCTTGAACCTGGGAAAAAAAAAAAATCTGAGAAAATCACAAATGTCAAGTGAGGAAACCATTTGATGATGCATTAAGGATACTCAACCATACCATCTTAATATGGCATTAAGGCCCTTTACAATGTAGATCAAAATTCTTTTAATGGACTTACTCTTGTAGCCTTTTAATGACTAGCTACCATATTCTATAAGGTATTTCTCAAACACAGAATGTATACTTTCATGTCTGACACTTTCAGTGTATACTTTACAGTATTTAACAGCTGACTTGATTCCTTTACACAACTCCCATGCATGGCTGATTAACTCAGTTCAAATGTTATATTCCCCAATCAGTAATTTTTCTTCCAACAATCAGTAGTTTTAATTCCAAAATCAGAGACTGAACTGTCATATACAGTAATAACATTAAAATACTGATGAATGGAATACTGACATTCTATGATGAACAGCAGTACTATGTTTCATATACATAAAGTACTATGCTTTATATATTGCATTTTAAAAGTGTATTGCATACAACAGTTTGCTCCATACACTTAAACATACTGCATTAGTTTAAAAATGACAATCCAAGTAAGTCTAACAGTTTTGTCAATGTTAACTGAGACTTTAGCACATCATTCTACTTCCTGGTATTTGGTATCAGTTCTAAATCTATCACTCAAAGCCACCCATAACCCAGTTCCTATTCACACAGCTTTCAAATACATTTCCTATGACTCTCTAAAAAATACTAATACGTTCTGAAGGCATACATCATAATCATTATTACAATCCCCCTTTCTTTTTTTTTAAAGAATTCTATCACCTGCATCCCTACCACTACTATTGTACAATGTATTGTACAAATCAACACTAACTTCATATTAACTCCTAAAGCAACTAGCATGGTATTAATGTCTCCTATTTTGTATATCTGGGAAGCTCAAAAAAAAGACTATAGGATTCTTTTTTTGGGGGGGTGCGGGGGGAGGTTCCCTACAGTCTGGCATGTGAGTCTACAGGATTTTTAAGGCTAGGAATGTCCTTTTTTTCTAGTTTCGTTCTTGTTGCCCAAGCTGATGTAGGCTCACTGCAACCTCCACCTCCCAGGTTTCAAGCGATTCTCCTGTTTCAGCTTCCTGAGTAGTTGGGATTACAGGTGTGCACCACCACACCCAACTAATTTTTTGTGTTTTTAGTAGAAACAGGGTTTCATTATGTTAACCAGGCTGCTCGTGAACTCCCGACCTCAGGTGATTGCCCGCCTCAGCCACCCAAAGCGCTGGGATGAAAGGCGTGAGAAACTGCACCTGGCAGGAATCTTTTTTTTATGGTTTTGCTGTGATCTATCTATCATGACAAGTTAGGTGGCAATTACAGCCATGTGTCACTTAACAATGGGTTTAAGTTCTGAGAAATGGATCCATCACTAGGCATTCTTATCACTGTGCAAACATCATGTACTTACACAAACCTTGGCCATGTTATAGCCTATTGCTCCTAGGCTATAAACCCGTAAACCATGTTACTGTACTGAATACTTTAAGCAATTTTAACACAATGGTAACTACTCATGTACCTAAATATTGGAAATAATACAATCTTATGGCACTACCATTGTATATGCGATCTGGCACTGATAGAAACATTATATGATGCATGAGCAATAGGAAAATAATGAAGAGGACATGGATCAGCTAGTAAGCCCCATTTCAGTATCGGGCAAGCCAGAGAGTCCTTACTTTTAAGACTGACTCATCTCAAGAAGGAAGGTGAAAACAAGTGATCCAGAAAACCTATACCTCCTGACATTATGACATCATGCATTAACATCACTATCACCCTACCTAATAATCTCCTCAATCATTTAGAAACAGGTATTTTTTGTTTTGGAGTAAAGGGAAGATGTTTGAAAATATCCTTGATGTTCATCACCACAAACTAGAAAAACAAAATTTTCTAGTTTTGATTTTAAAATCTAGATTTAGATTTTCACTAAACAGCTGTTGAGTAGAATGACAAAACACTTAACATACCTATCATAATAATCCCGTTGAAAGTCATAGTCCAAGTCAAAAGAGGAGCTGAAAAATAAATACCAAAGAGGGTTAATTTGGAAATGTTCCTACTAATTCATAACAGTAGGTAAGGGGAGAACCATGCCAAATAAACCATAACAAATAGATCAACAAGGTTAGCACTGAATGATCCCCAACATTCATACAATAAATCACTCAATTCCAATCACCTTAGACCACTAGACATGTAGTGGTCAAACTGGTAATTCAGGTTAAAATTCACTAAGATTCCCACATACAACATAGCTAAAAACAGAATGGTTAACTAAACATCGTTATACCACTCCCTTCTCCCCTTTCTTCTCTCTAGTGTCTTATAAGCTTAACAATTCCATAGAAGTATTTCAGGTTATGCTATAAATATCAAACTATTCTTAAATATTAATAGCAAAAACTTCAGGGACTTTTTAATTCTCTAGAAATTTTTCCTAGGGCAAAAAAAGAGACTATTAATGCAAAAATAATAAAACCTTATTTATACACAAATAAAACACAGTACACTTAACCCTCCCAACATCCAGAAAACAGATAGAGAAGATGCCCACTGATGGACACAATGATTCAGTTATAAATAATAAAGTTCCGGACCTGAGTAGAGGGGACGGAGAAGGGTGTTCTGTTACTGACCCGTACATCTCCGCTGCAGATCGTTTCACACCTGCTTTTCCTCGGTTCACTTTTGGCTCTGCAGCCAGGTTAATATCTGAAAAACAACAGCAAAAATGTTAATGACAACTTTGTATTCAGGTAAAACAAACAACAAAGTTTATTTTTTAATTTTTTATTATTGAGACAGTCTCGCTTTGTCACCTAGGCTGGAGTGCAGCGGCGCAATCTCGGAGCACTGCAACCTCCATCTACCAGTTTAAGTGAATTCTCCTGCCTCAGCCTACCAAGTAAGGGGACTACGGGCAGGCACCAACAATCCCGGGCTTAATACAAACTACAAGGTTTAGAATTGTACACAAACACATAAATCAAGAAAATACAGAACAGTGTATCTCATCTTTCCTTTTTTGTTTTTGAGACAGGGTCTCACCTCACCCAAGCTGGAGAGCAGAGATGCAGTAATGGCTCACTACAGACTAGACCGCAGAAGCTTGGGTAATCCTCCCACCTCAGACTTGCAAATAGCAGAGACCACCACGCCTGGCTAATTTTTGTATTTTTCATAGACAAACTCTTGGGGGTTGAGTGATCTGCACTGGCCTCCCAATGTGCTGGAATTACAGGTATGAGCTACCATACTATGCTCAGCTTCATGTCTCCTTTTAACATTAAAAAGGCTCCCAAATTGTTACAAGTCTAGGACTTCATCTTCCGATTCTTTGTGCTCTGTTCTGTACCATTAAAGTGTCCTGAGACATAACATTAAGTCTGTCTTTGGTACTCTCCGCCCTCATATCCCACTTTAACTTAACTCTCGCCATTCAAGGCACTGACTGCACACTCAGTTACTATTACAGGAGAAAACTATCAATGATTGCCTTTCCAGAAATGGTTCAGTTCATTCTAAATTACAGATATATTAAAATGAAGTCTATCAGAATAAAATATATGGCAATTCATGAATATAGTTGAAATGTGACACCCTGAAATCATACTCAAGAGGCAAATTTGGGTTTTCCTTGTAGGTAAGGATTGGCTGTACTGTACATAAAATATCCTTGGTTAAAAATGGCTTTGTGTTGGCCGGGCGCAGTGGCTCACGCCTGTAATCCCAGCACTTTGGGAGGCCAAGGCGGGTGGATCACGAGGTCAAGAGATCGAGACCATCCTGGTCAACATGGTGAAACCCCGTCTCTACTAAAAATACAAAAATTAGGTGGATGTGGTGGCTACTCGGGAGGCTGAGGCAAGAGAATTGCCTGAACCCAGGAGAAGGAGGTTGCGGTGAGCTGAGATCGTGCCACTGCACTCCAGGCTGGGTAACAAGAGCGAAACTCCGACTCAAAAAAAAAAAAAAAAAAAAAAAAAAAGGCTTTGTGAATAATTCATGAATTGCTTAAGTAAACAACCTTTACACAAAAACACACAAAATAATGAAAGGAACAAAGGAAAACAACACTAGTTTTCAAATAATTTGTAACACCTATTCCCAGCTACCTACCCTGCCACCACTGCCTACATCAAACAAGAATTCATCTTTTCTTTGTTCTAAAAAGCCCTATCAGGGCCGGGCGTGGGTGCTCACACATGTAATCCCAACACTCTGGGAGGCTTGGGTGAGCGCATCACCCGAAGTCAGGAGTTCAAGACCAGCCATGGTCAACATGGTGAAATCCTGTCTCTACTAAAAATACAAAAAATTATTCAGGCATGGTGATGGGTGCCTGTAATCCCAGCTACTCAGAAGGCTGAGGCAACAGAATCACCTGAGCCTGAGAGGTGGAGGCTGCAGTGAGCCGAGAGCACACCATTGCACTCCAGCCTGGGCAACAGTGAAGCTCTGTCTCCAAAAAAAAAAAAGAGGCCATTATCAGAAAGCCAAAAACTCTCCAAAATTCAGTTTTTCACTGACCTGGTCTGACCTATTCAGTAAACAGTAACTCATATACTGCTTTTATTAAAATGAGCCTCACTCACTCATATTGTCCATTTACTGAACACCAGTACATTAATAACCTTCAGGTTTTGGTACATTAACCCCATTTACAATTTTGACTTCAAAACCATATAAAGCCTTCTAAAACTAAAGAAAGAATTTCTGAAAAAGCAATCCATAAAATGTAATAACAATCAAACAGACCCAAATTATGTTATCTGTTTGGTTATAGAACATTATCAAAGAATTATTTCATGTTACTCTAAGCTACCATACTTTTGAGTCAGTATTTACAGAATATATACCAAGAATAAACAGAACCACAAATATAAAATTGAAAAATAATCATCTTAATTTTGGTAAACAGAGGTATGTTTCTTTTGAAACTGAGGCACCAAGCACACATAAAATGAGAAATTAAAACAGACATCTGGTCGGACCTGGTAGCTCATGCCCGTAATCCCAGCACTTTGGGAGGCTGAGGCAGGTAGATCACCTGAGGTCAGGAGTTTGAGACCAGCCTGGCCATCATGGTGAAATACTCTCTACTAAAATTCCAAAAAACTAATCAGGCATGGTGGTAACCGGCCTGTGGTCCCAGCTACTTGGGAGCCTGAGGCAGCAGAATTGTTTGAACCCGGGAAGCAGAGGGTGCAACGAGATTCCATCTCCAAAAAAAAAAAAAAGAAAAGAAAAGAAAAGAAAAAACCACACAAACACACAAGACAATCTAAGACTCAGCCAAACTATGCAGTAGGCTCAACAGGTGGAGGAGTGAAACCCCAATGAGAAACCAGGAAGTCCGATTCCAGTGCCCAACACTAGAAGACTCCTCCAGTCTGCTGTGGGCAGGACATAACCATTTAGGCAACATTTTTACATTGTAAAGTGTCATTCCCAGCTCCCCTTACTCAAGATTTCCAACTGAGGGTTGTTCTATCTCAACTACAACGAAATGGTACAATGAAGAATATCCTTTACTTAGCCAATTTTAACTATAAGCCTAATGTATTTATTAGACTGAAGTAATAGTCACAATATCCAGAATATCTCAGGCTGTCAGTTTGACAGAAAGGAAAAAAAAAAAAAACCCTGAATGGAAAAACTCAGGCCTGAATTATATCATCAATGAAAAAATTCACTTAACAGAGACCTTACCTAAAACCTGGCCAGCAATCATTCTGCCATCCTCTCCTGCTACAGCAGCGCGGGCATTTCTCTCATTAACATATTGAACAAAGGCGAAGCCCTTATGAACAGAGCAGCCCACAATTTTGCCATACTTCGAAAAGATTGCCTCCACATCGGATTTCTTGACCACGAGAGTGTTGAGATTCCCAATGAACACACGGGAGTTCATGGAGCGAGGATCTGTCTTGTTGGTAACGTTGCTGGCCATTGTGTTTGATGACAAGGTTTCTCACAAAGCCGAAAACTATAAAGGAAAAAAAAAAAAAAAAAAAAATTCAGGTGAACAGATGCTAAAAATAATATTCCTTGATAAAAACTTCTGCACTCTCTCTGAACCACTGTTCAGGGAACTTCCCAGAGTATCAGGCGATTTAAAGGGACTCAGTATTAAATATGTATTTGCTAATAAATTCAGAGCCTCCATGCTCTGAATACACTCTTATGGAAATTCAACTTCTTCCTCTTCATTCTATTTCAGCATCACTAAACTTTACAGTCTCAGGAGAAAAAAAATTCTCCCTTGAAGGTCATTGGCAATATAATTTCCTTGGACATAATTAATTCCATGTGGCTTCCTAAGTCCTCAAGCAAATTAGAATTGCCTATATTCTCTGATACCAATTTCTGCTGTTTTGCACATTACAGGTCATGCTATTGCCTGTCATCAATAACTCTATCTTCATTAGCATTGCTTTTATCGAGTTTCACCGGTTCTGTATATATTCACACAGTACGTCAAATTCTGTGCCAAGCCATTCATTAGCTAGATTAGTACGGATAGCTTACACTTACCCATCAAGTATAATTTTCTTCAAAAGGCAATAAACAATCAATTTGTTTCCACTAGAAATACCTATTTTCATATACTTCAATTAATTTGCAATATGCTTTAGATGCGTACGTATCCATACCATCTTTTTACAGACTGCAATGACTCCAAGCCTACTTTTTATATAACCTCGTAACACAGGTTATTTAGTAATATCAGATGGTGATGATGATAAAAAGAGCCAGTGGAACACAGCATGAATCAAGTAAGGATCAGGGGAACTAAAGAAATATACACAACTTTCCACAGATTTAAAACCAAAAATTATCTGTCTTTATGTATGTGATAGAGGCTTAATCCTATAATAATATGGAGAGTCACAATACGATCTCAGGTCCTGTATAAGCAAAAATGTTTTATTTCACATTCTTTTAGCATTTTGTCTTCCGCCTCTTCCCAATCCAACCCTCAATCTTTAACAAGATTTAAAAACACATTCTTAAGATTAATTACCCCTTCAACCCTTTGAAAGGTACTGACCAATCTCAAGATTCCAGCATGGTATCGGTTATCCTCCAATCCTCAAGTGAATCATGACAAACTAGTTCTCATGGATGATGTTAAAATAAAAACGTCTAGTATGTATACATGTGTACATAAAAAAAACAGTATAACACCATTTTATTTATACACAACTCCTACCATTCTGATGCTTAATACAGTCATTTAACAGGCTACTTAAAAGCTCAAACTTTACTTCCTTCCAAACTTTTCTGAAATTTAAAAGTCTGTCTTTGTTAGTTTCTAAAGTATACATTTACAAAAAGTTATTAATATTTTAAAACTAAGCAATAAAAATTAACAAACAGTCACCATTAAAAACCACCAGCAGCATTTCAGCTATTAAGTATGCCAGAAAGTCTGAGAACACTAAGAGGAAATAAAAATCTGCAAAAAGGCCTAACTGGTTTCAGATATTACTGCCAGTTTATTAAGATTTGCTATTATGCCGGGCACAGTGGCTCATGCCTCTAATCCCAGCACTTTGGGAGACGGAGGTGGGTGGATTGCTTGAGGTCAGGAGTTCGAGACCAGCCTGGCCAACATGGTGAAACTCCATCTCTAAAAAAAATAAAAATAAAGAAAAAAAAAAAAAAGACTTGCTATTATTACAACTAGAGGTATAATCTTGGTTTTCAGAAATTATTTTTCACAAGCAGTAAGTGTATCAATAGAAAATATCATCTCCACAGGTTTAATGAGAAGAAATTACCAGGGCTGAGGGTCCCAATAAGCTACCAGCATGCTAAACATAAAGGAGAAAACCCCCCAAACCACGTATGTCCAATATTCCAAATGGACATTTGCAAAAAATACAAATGTGACTGAAAGAAATACCATTTTGAAACACAGAACAGAAAAGGATTGAAATGACCATCTTCTTCTCAACTTTCACAGCCCAAGGCACTTTTCATGTGTATCAGGGCTTAATTCTCTCTAAGATCCCCAAATGAAAAGTTTCGTAGAAAAGCATCCAGGAATACAAGTAAAAGGATGCTAGCAATGGTTGTCATCTCTGAGTTTAAAGATATGATTTCTCATTTTCCTATGGTCTATTTTTTAATTTGCTCCAAAATCATCAACTACTTATTTTAGAAATATACTAATCCCAACTTCAAAAGGTTGCCTAAAATTAGTAAGATAGCTGTAAATACCCATATTTAATTATAAGAATTTAAATTCAAGATGGAGGCAACAACAGTAAAGACACATGTGCTCAAAAATACCGATTAATTCTACTCTTAGTAACGTATCCTCCTAAGATATGAACAGTCACTACAAATTAATTCATTTTTAGGGTCAAATATTTAATAACCATGTGCTGAGTACCACATTTGGGGCAACTCCAGAGGACTAATAGCAAGAAAGACTCTCCTCAGAGCTTCCTTTTAATTATAGTAGTGTTGCTATTTAAAGTTTTATGTAAGAGGTACATTTCCCAAAGTTTTAGAAATAGCAACTAAATGATGTTAAGTCACACTTCATCCTAGGTAGCTGAGATGAAATTTCCATAAAGGGATAATGTTAGCCAATACTGTTTAACACAAAAAAATCTACAGGAAAAGAACTGGGATTCTTGGAAGGAAGCAGCAACAGCAGAGCAGTTTTTCAATCTTTGATTTCCAACAGAAGACACCAAGATGGCAAAATCGCTATCCTACAGACAGCATTTACAACAAAACTCCAAAATGCAAAGTAGTAAAGGCAAGCTAATAGCCAGGATATATGGTTCCATTAACTGCGGTGGGAGAAATTAAAAAAAAAAAAAAAAAAAAGAACTTGGAGAATATGAGTTAGAAATACCAGAATACCAAAATACCCAACAAGTATTTATTAAAAAGCAAGAAGAACCAATTAGAAGAAAAGCAGTTAAAATTTCCAAGTTTTACCTGCTCCAATAGTGAGTGAACACAAGGTACATTCTAAATGTGTAAAGGTGCACAAACAGTTGCATCCCTGGAAAATCTCCTAACTAAACAAACTCTATGGGACGAATTCCACTGTCAATCTCTTCTTCCTCTCACCAAAAATTAACCACCAGTCTGATTTTACTAGTATTTTCTTACTTTTAAAGTAAGGCAGGTTGGGTGCAGTGGCTCACGCCTCTAATCCCAGCACTTTGGGAGGCCAACATGGTGAAGCTCCACCTCTACTAAAAGTTAAAATTTAGCTGGGTGTGGTGGCACAAACCTATAGTCCCACCTACTCGGGAGGCTGAGGCAGCAGAATCGCTTGAACCCAGGAGGCGGAAGTTGCAGTGAGCCGAAATACTGCCACTGTGCTCCAGCCTGGTGACAGAGCAAAACTGCCCCCCCCCCCAAAAAAAACCTCTAATGCCTAAAGCATACCCATAAACATTATAGTATTTCCAGAAAAATAAATGTGATGCATTTGAAGTGTTTCTGTAGGTAAGTTCCCCTTCTATTATATTAAAATTTACCTGTTGAAAAATTCAGGGTATTGACCAGTAGTTTTTCCTAGTCTGTATTTTCCAGGATACTCTTAGTACAATTTTCCTATATTCTTCTGTAATTCCTGAAATTGGAAGCTGGGACCAAAGGCTTCTTCAGCCTCATATGCAATCTTTTGGCAAGACTACCTTGTACTGTAAGTTGCAATACCTTTTTGTGGTGTTATTGATGCTTCAACAATACCATTTCTCTCTAGGTAGTATGTCGTTTCTCGACCAATGCTTTTACCATGTTATGCAGACTCTTTTGTTAGAAATCCTAGTAACAGTCCCTCAGTTCTTGCATATATCGGTTGGCCAGCATCCTTTTACAGCTGTACAATGATTTCAATGGGTAAAATAAAATCCTTGATCACATTTCTTGTTACTCCCTTTACTTCTGGAAGGTTTCTAGTTGTCAGAGGATTATTCCAAAGCGGAAATCTTGGCCAGGAATGGTGGTTCATGCCTGTAATACTATCACTTTGGGAGGCCAAGTGGATGGATCATGTGTGGCCAGGAGTTCAAGACCAGCCTGGCCAACATGGCAAAACCGCATCTCTACTCAAAGTACAAAGATTAGACGAGCGAGGTGGCACATGCGTGTAATCCCAGCTACTTGGGAGGCTGACACATGAAAACTGCTTGAGCCAGGATTCAAAGGTTGGTTGCAGCGAGCTAAGATGGGGTCACTGCACTCCAGTCCAGGAGATACAAGACTCTGCCTCAAAAACAAACAAAACCAGGGTAAATCTTGCTTGCAAAATCCTACTTGTTACTGTAAAGAGGGTTTCTGTTTTAGAGCAACTCAGTTTTTTCTAAGAATTTTGGTATTTTATCAACTAGGGGGAAAAAAAGGAAGAAACATTAAGTTTAGGCTTTACAAATATAAATATGACATCGGTCATATTTAACGCTGTCTCATTGGTCACAAGGCTGTCTCACTGAACATAAAGGTTTATACTTTGAAGTAATCCTGTGAAGAGTAGATAATTCAAATTCTCCTAACTTTTTAAGGAAGTAGTAGCAGGGGCTGGGCACAGTGGCTCATGCCTGTAATTCCAGCACTTTGGAATACTGAAGCAGGCGGATCACTTGAGGTCAGTAGTTCCAGATCACCGTGGCCAACATGGTGAAACCCCACCTCTACTAAAAATTCCAAAATCAGCAAGGTGTGGGGGGTCTGTGCCCGTAATGCCAGCTCCTTGGGAGTCTGAGGCAGGAGAATCGCTTGAACCCAGGAGGTGGAGGCTGCAGTGAGTCGAGATCACGCCACTGCACTCCAGCCCAGGTAACAAAGTGAGCCTGTCTCAAAACAAACAAATACACAGTTCCAAATATTCCAGTTTATTCCACTACTTGTAAATCAGAAGGTTGTAGCACAGGCTAAGTACTCTGCAATTTTTTCAAATGTGAAGTATAACCTAGTCACATCCTTTAAAAATTTCTTCAACAAATGAGAGCC